AAAACTGACAGGAGAACGTGGATCGTCGGATCGGTGCGGAATCAACGACACCAATGCAGCGGAGACTACACTACGGAAAGGCATCATCATAGGAGACAACATTCGTGATCAGCGACTGCACAATCGACGCATCTTCTAACTAGTCTCGATGACGATCAACTTATTTTGACGACCTTCTCTTCGTTAAAAATGGACCTACATCAGCACAGCGGATCTTCACCCAGGAAAAAACTGGAGCTGCGTGAAGACATGTTCTCCATCCACAAGGCACTTCTTCATACAAATTGATCGACAACCTATAGGATTGCAGAGTAGCCGTTTTCTCTTGCAATGCTCCCAAGTTCAAGTTGCTGCGAAGGAGCAGATTTCGCAGGCAACGACGACGCAGTGAACCGGTCTCGTCAAGGCCATTGAGATACTACTTTGTAACAGGAGCTGACCGATTCGTCTTCATCAAGAATCTCAGCCATCCGAAGTGATCGATTGGAGAAGTCTTAACATCGACCTCACGAGGCGACACACCAATCATGCGTCGCGATTCTAGGTGTTAATGACCTGCGTGGAAAAAAATTCCGTGCATGTCACGATGCTTGACAGATTGAGGAGTAATTAACCTATCATCCGGCAAGTACTCGTTCACTAGCGACCCTACGGCACATGCATTGGAGGCGATTCTATCAGAAGCCGAAGCGTTACAAGCATCAGCGTAACTTCGACGATGCAGGAGAATGCCAAGCAACACGAGGTGTCAACAAATGAGGGAGATGCGGACTACTACAACACGATCACGTGCTCTACCGACCGTACATTGGAGGCACGGATGAGCATACCAGGAATTGCTACCCGTGGATACATTGAGGGGAGAAGCAAATTTCTCTTCATACCCTCAAATGAAACCATCACCGACAGCAATGGAGCAACACATGTGTACCAATGTGCACATGTTTCTGGTAGTTACGCCTGTTACACCCATCAGGAACACTCTACTGGGAAGAGGGAGTTGATGGATTCTCCTTCAACCAGTACAAGTTGAGAGAATTCTCTGCAGCAGCTGTCGCCGTCGCCGTCGTCGCAACCGCCGCCGCCGCCGCCGCAGCAGAAGACTCGACACAACAGTCACAACCAAACCCTGATGGATGATTCTCCGCTCAATGGAGATAATGCTGGATTATATTCCAGTGGATTGTAAAGTCCCGGCCAGGCACTATACTATGATTTCCAGCTAGTGGGAAGGAGATACCACTATGCGAGGAAACAACATGGCAATGCCATATACCCTCAAGAGCAGAAGATATTTGCTCTTATGAGGATGGGAGGACTACGGTACTCTACTGGTATACAAGTCCTCATGGCCTATGGCTTTCCTTAAAGTCACAAAACCTGCGTCGGAACCAATCCATCACCAGCACCACCTCTATGGAAGCAGATAGGCGTGAAATGGAGCGCCGACGCCACTCCGGACAGTGGACTCCGCGTATCTCCAACAACATCCCTGTTTTCCGAAATGGAGCAGACTTCAACACTGATGCTGAGTAGCTGAGACGTCGTCGACATCAACGCTACTTCAAGGACAGTGACAGAGTAAGATAACACATGATGACACCAGAAGACCTATCCCAATATGTGCGCCCAGACACCGATGCCTACCGATGGCCTCCGTGCTAAACTGGACGTGCATAAGGTCATACTGGATTGGCTGTCAGCAATGCTCATTTGGAAACAGGAGAGGATTATTTGGGAATACCCCTAATATTCCGAGATGTCCTAACCCATCACCGTGAGATATCTACGCAGCTGAGATTCCTTGCTTGAGCAACCACCGAGGGAAACACCTTTGGCGCCAATTCTGGAAGTTACCAGCTCCGCGTTTGTGGTACCAACCCTCGCATGGTTCTGAACACAAGGGATACGTTGCAGCACTTCGCATGCGCTGTTGTACTCAAGGCAGTGTGAGTAGCAGACTGCGTGGTGGACAGGGTTACTACTAGTGATTCTGCTCTCCATTCTCACAGCACTACGATGCCGAGTGGGTACGATTCGTGACAACACTACGGCATGGACCATCATCCGACAGAAGCTGCATGTAACGGATACAACACTGCTACAGAAGCAGTTCTACGACACGACTGCCATACCACCACCACTTGGTGATCTTCAGGCGTGGACGAGATGCAAGTGATCTTCAGGCATGCACAGAACAGACAACGTAGCCATTCATCTGCACGTTACATCACACTGTTCCAACCACTCAAGTCTCCAACTACAACTTGCACCTGCCCATATATCACTGACGGCGATACACACCATCCTTCCTTGCTATGGACAGAGCCTGCTCACTCCGTAGCAATAGACAGTTCTTGCTACAGTCCAACTGGCTTCCGATTTCATCGTCATCGTCCACCATCTTGTACATCGACCACACAAGCACCTCTTGGACATCCAACAACAGCACAAGCACTTGGCAACTCATCACTACCCTTCTCGAGACCATAATATCGACATCAGCCATCTTCCATCCATGCTTCAACCTTGCTTTTGCAGGTCTATCCTTATTGAAGCAAAGGTCACTTCATTCACCTTCCGCTTCCGCCAACCAGCCACTTGGAAGATCCATACCGCCTTCCACACCAGCTTCTTAAACCCTATTGTGAGAGTATGACCCCGTTACACCACTTGGCCTTTTCTTATTTCCTTCCTTTTTCATTTCTCTTTAACTCCATCTCATTTGGTTTCCTATTCTTCCTTTTCCATTAACCTTTGGTTTATCCTGCTATTATAATTATATCACCGACCAGGCTTGGGATGTACTAGTGCGCTCTATCTAGCGTAATCCTGCTGTAATCCCTTAAAGCCAATAGCCTCGCGTGGCTATACGCAGGGTGATTCTATCTTCTAGAAGGGTCTATTCCCCTAGGAAAAGATAAACCTGGTTACCTGATGTACTCTGGAAGTATAAAAGCGCCTTGTACTGATCGATAGTGCAATCTTTCTTAGACACATTCGATCCTGTGACACTTGGTAATCAGAGCTTTTCTCACTCGGCCTCGCTCAACAAAGCAGCAGCAGCGGGAAAACCTGCCTCGAAAAACCGCCGGGGGCGACCAATTCGACGCCGATTCTGGTAAGCACCAGCTCCGCGATTTTCAAATTACCCCCTCCGTGCGTGTTTTGAACAGGATGGCAACCTTCGACAACACCGAGGTTACCCAGCAGCTCTTCGCGCGCATCGCAGCCCTTCAGGAGGAAATGCGAGCGGACCGCGAAGCGTGGTGAAACGAGTTCGAGCGAGTAACTCGACTCGCCGGAGCGCAGCACGAGACGACAACGGCGACGACGCAGCAGTCGCAGCAATTTTTCGAGGCTCCGAAACCGCGCCCACCTGAGCCGTTCGATCTGAGCGATCGAAACTCCGACGCCCGCAGATGGATCGCCGGGATGGAGATCTACTTCGCAGCCGTCGGATGGAGCTCGCCAGTCTGGGACGGTCAACGTGTACGACTCGCGGCGACACTGATGCGAGGGCCGGCACTCGAGTGGATTGGCGGCAACAGTACCTTCATCCACGGTGAAGCCACGTGGCAGCAGTTCCGCGCTGACCTGCTGAAACGCTTCGAGCCGATAAATTCCAGTTTCCTTGCCCGGGAAAAAATTCATCGACACCGACAGTTCGGGAGTGTAGCGCAGTACACGCAGCAGATGGAGGAATTTTATAACCGCATTCCCGACCTGACCGAAGGGGAAAAAGTACAATCGTACCTCGCCGGGCTGAAGACCGAACTCAAACGACAAGTCGCAGCGTCAAACTACGCGAGCTACAGTGACGTCGTTTCGGCAGCGGAGCGCTTCGACATGGTCAACGCCAGAACACGACGGACGCACGTCGGCAGTACGCGACAGGGCGACCGCTCGGCTCACCCCACGTTCGCCGACCCGATGGAAGTCGACAGATTCGAGGGGCGGCCACGTCCGAAAAACACCAATTACATGTGTGATTTTTGCGGGGTGCCGGGTCATCGAATCTTCGACTGCAGCAAAATGAAAGCCGCACGCGCAGAGTATCGGGCACGCAACAGTGGCGGAATTCCTTCAGCCAATCAGAAGACAAAAAACGGGAGTCGCCAGTGATTGCGGATCTAGCTGGCGAAAATAAAAAGATCCGAAAGCGGCCGCGGGATTCCGGGAAAATCAACTTCGACGAAGCTGATTCGACGCGAGAAGGAGGAAATGATGGGGGAGAATCTCCACCCCACGACCAGTCTTCGCCAGGGAAAATCGCCGAGGAAAAATCTGACTCCGCGAAAAAAGACTCTGCCGAGACGGGGAAACTCCTTGAAGATCCAAAAAATTATAAGAATTCATTAAAGTTATCTTATAAAGATGCTTTAATGAAAACTTATGATTTTCGAGGAGCTAGAGCCTTGGAGAAATTTCGGGAGGGACTCCAAAAGAAGCAGACAGCTGTGGAGATTATACCGGCACTGGACAACTTGGGGAAAAAATTAAGGAGTGTGGAAAGAAGCCGACCTTTCCACGGAGTCAACGTTCTCTCCCGACACCACCCCACAACGACTACCCGTTCCCCAGGGAAGACGTCGGTGGAGCTGAAGCAGCTCAAGAGGAAGCTGGGGGTCTATAAGAAGCTGCACAAACCCGAAAATCCTCCTCCGGATGCATCCAGTTCTTCGGCATCAGTGACGCGCACAGTCGTCAAGGAAACTCCGGGCCCTGGAGAAGAGCCGTTCTCCAAGCAGCCTCGGCCAGCTGCCAGCTCAGGAGTAGATAGCAACACAAAGATGTGTACGGAATATTGGGATGTACCCTATGACCCAATCAATGAAACTATCTTTGGGTACTCCGAGCAACGACTGCCCCTCGTGCTCGAGGTCATCTGCAAAGGACGACGCCTCCAAGCACTCGTGGACAGCGGAGCATCACACACCATCTGCGACAAGGCAGTATTCGACCCACTTCGGGAAGAGTACAAGCCTTCAGGATTCTCTGCAAGGATGGTGGACGGCAGCAAGTTACCAGTACACGGCGAAGCAGTGCTACACCTACAAATTGGACCACTGCGCTGGAGACCTGCACTTCCCATCACCAACATCAAAGGGCTTGACTTGATCTTCGGGCGAGACTTCCTAAAAAGATTCAACCCCGAGATCAACTGGGTGAACCTCACCGCAAGCATCTACAACAATGGACAGAGAGTACAGCTACCCAACTGGGACGATACAGGAGATATCCCAGTGGAGACCCTCGCACGATTCGAGAAGGACGTGAAGCGAACCGACACAGGGTTCCTGGCAATAGCAATAGAGGCGGAGAACGACAGGGAGAGAACCTCGGAACCTCCAGGAAAGATCAAGGAATTATTGAAGGAGTTCCAAGATATTCTTCCGGACGATCTTCCGAATGAGCTACCGCCATACCGAACGCATCAACACGAGATCGTGGAGGAACCGGGTTCGAAGCCGACCTTTCGAGCACCATATCGGCTCAGCCCTACGGAGCTGACCGACATGAGAAAACAAATCGAGTATCTCCTAGCCAAAGGACTCATCCGACCATCCACTTCACCGTACGGTGCCCCAGTACTCTTCACACCGAAACCGGACGGAAGCCTGCGCATGTCCATCGACTACCGAGCACTTAACAAGCAGACCATCAAGAATAAATATCCGATACCGGTGAGCGTTTTGTTGCTACCGAAGTGTCCGGCGCAGAGGACGTCGTGGTATTCTTCGAGTAGTAACTGCCGCAAAGGAGGGTAATTGGGTACCCAGATTTTTGTTGATCCTTTCCGGTACGCAATGTCACTGTCCCACTGTAGCAGATGTCGCTTTTCTGCCAAGGGAATTTCGGGGTCGGTGGCGTACCCGTGTGTGAAGAGTCCCTTGAGTAGTGGATTCATCCCTTCGACCTGAATAGCGGCAACGTGTGCAGGCCGGCTGAGAGCGTCTGCTTTGTTCTTGTGACCGGGCTTGTACACGATGTCGTAGTGGAAGTGTGTCTCGAGGAAGTCGATCCACCGGACCTGCCGCCTGGAAAGGTTGGGTTGTGTCTTCAAGTATTTCAGGCTGCAGTGGTCGGTGTAGACGGTTGTTCTTCGTCCTTCGAGATAGCATCTCCACGCTTTGAAGGCGATGATGATAGCCAGGGCCTCCTTGTCGTGTATCGGGTAGTTGAGTTTTGCCCCGTGTAGTTTTTTACTTAGGTAAACGATTGGTTGCAGTCCATTCCCTTGATCTTGCATCAAGACTGCTCCCACTGCTTGGTCACTGGCGTCAGCTTCGATGACGTAGTCGCCTTCGGGATCTGGCAAAATGAGTACCGGTGCGGACGTAAGTGCTTGCTTCAGCTGCTCCACGGCTTCCTGGTGCTTCGGCTCCCATTTGTAGGGCGTGTTCTTCTTCAGCAGATTCGTGAGTGGTGCTGCGATTTTCGCATACTGTGGCACGAACCTGTTGTAGTAATTAGCGAAGCCTAGGAACTGCTGCAACTCCTTCACGTTCTCGGGTGTCTTCCACGTGCGTACGGCCTCGATTTTCTTGGGGCCGACGTGAACTCCTTGAGCGCTCACCATGTGTCCTAGGAACTGGACCTTTTCAAGGGCGAATTCGCTCTTGGACAGTTTGACGTAGAATCGTTCTCGTCGAAGAATTTCGAAGACGCGTCGCAGGTGTTCGACGTGCTGCTTCATGTACCGCGAATCGATGACCTTCTTGACCAGCGGTCACCGGGTTACCACCTACCACCAGCGGTCATGACGCCATCCTTGTCGTCATTGACAAGTTCTCCAAAATGGGACACTTCATCCCGACACACACGACAGCACGCACCGAAGAAACAGCACAACTCTTCGTTCGATACATCATCTCACAGCATGGCATTCCAACCACACTCATCTCCGACCGAGACCCTAAGTTCGCCAGCAAGTTTTGGAAGGAACTTATGTCTCTCCTCGGGACCAAACTCGCCATGTCATCTGCTTACCATCCGCAGACAGACGGACAGACCGAGCGCCTCAACCAAATTGTTGAGCAACTCCTTCGAACAGCCTGCAAGGACGAGATCTCCAAATGGGACTTGCACCTGCCCGTACTAGAGTTTGCTTACAACAATGCTACACATGCCGCTACTGGACAAACGCCGTTCTTCCTCTGCTACGGACGCCACCCACTCACACCGCAAAAACCGACAGCATCAGCTACAGTCCGACCAGCACATGATTTCATCACAACCATGCATCAGCTTTGGGATCGGACCCACAAGCGCCTACTCGACATTCAACAGCAACAGAAGCGCCAGGCCGATCGCCATCGCAACGATCACACCATCACGGTGGGAGACCAGGTGCTTCTTGAAACCCGCAATCTGGACATCAGCCATCTCCCATCTAAACTTCGACCTTGCTTCTGCGGGCCTTTTCTCGTTGAAGCACAGGTCACTCCTGTTACCTTCCGCTTACGCCTGCCAGCTACCTGAAAGATTCACAACGCCTTCCACGTCCAACTTCTGAAGCCCTATCGGGACCCGAACACGATTTTCGTCGGACGCCAACAGCCGCCGCCACCGCACGTCCTCGTCCAGAATGAACCCGAGTACGAGGTCGAGTCCGTGCTCGCACACCGCCGTCATCGGAATGGCACCGTGGAGCTTCTCATCCGTTGGAAGGGTTATGATCCTTCTGAGGACAGCTGGGTACCTGAGACCGACATGGGTAACGCACGTCGTCCTCTGCATGACTACCTTGTCAAGCAGGGTGTTACTTTTACCACCCAGCTTTGAGGGGGGGAAGTGTGAGAGAACGACCCCGTTACACCACTTGGCCTTTTCTTATTTCCTTCCTTTTTTATTTCTCTTTTATTCCATCTCATTTGGTTTCCTATTCTTCCTTTTCCATTAACCTTTGGTTTATCCTACTATTATAATTATATCACCGACCAGGCTTGGGATGTACTGGTGCGCTCTATCTAGCGTAATCCTACTGTAATCCCTTAAAGCCAATAGCCTCGCGTGGCTATACGCAGAGTGATTCTATCTTCTAGAAGGGTCTATTCCCCTAGGATAAGATAAACCTGGTTACCTGATGTACTATGGAAGTATAAAAGCGCCTTGTACTGATCGATAGTGCAATCTTTCCTCGACACATTCGATCCTGTGACACCTATCAAGACCAAACACCCTCTACACCGAATGCCAACCAACGTCGCCGCCCGTGTTCGTCCATGACATGGGACAACAACGTGCTCGGCAACCGTCATCGTCAGACTGGCACTCTGGATCTTCTTCTTTGCTGGAAGGGTTATGATACTTCTAAGGCTGCGTCTCTGAACTCGACATGGGTAACGCCCGTCGTCCTCTTCGCGACTATCTTGTCAAGCAGGGTGTTACTTCTACCACCCAGCTTTGAGGGGGGGAAGTGTGAGAATACGACCCCGTTACACCAATTTCCCCTTTCCATATTTCCTTTCTATTTCATTCCTCTTTTTATCCTGATTCATTTGGTCTTTATCTCATCTCATTTGGTTTCCTATTCCTCCTTTTCCATTATCCTTTGGTTTATCCTGTTATTATAATTATATCACTGACCAGGCTCGGGATGTACTGGCGCACTATATCTAGCGTAATCCTGCCGTAATCCCTTAAAGCCAATAGGCTCGCATGGCTTTACGCAGGGTGATTCTATTTCTAGAAGGGTCTATTCCCTTTGGATAGGATAAACCTGGTTACCTGATGTACTTTGGAAGTATAAAAGCACCTTGTACTGAATGATAGTGCAACATTGAGCAAACCTTTCCTCGACACATTCGATCCTGTGATACTAGCTAGCTGGAGTGAGTGAGCCAAATTGGAGGGCAGGGGTTCCGCGAAATGGAAAGAGTGTCACATGAGCGAAAAAAGAACCTACAGTAACGGCGGAAGCGTGAGTAACGGCGAAAGCGTGAGGAACGGCGGAAGAAAAAAACTAACCTAGCTCTATACCATGTTAGAGTAGCGGGAAAACTGGTGACAAAGGGAAAGTGTCGAGGGATACAAAACTAGGGCTGTGTTTGCACCTGAGGCCAAGTGTACTACGCGGGCCTGTCGGCAATGCTGCAGTTCGTGCTGGAGGAAGTACCGCAGCTGGATGTGCTTCACTTTGCCCTCCAGTCGAGGCTCCTGACACAAGAGGATCATGGCACTGTTGTCAGCATACTGAACCGGGGTAGAGCTAGGCCGCTCACCTAAGTCTGTGAGCAAGAAAGTCAGCCAGCAAACCTCATGTGCCGCCATGGCACCGGCATAGATCTCAGCCTCACAGCTAGACGGGGCAACAGATGACAAACGAGAGGACCGCCACTAGACGGCGCCTACACCAAGGCTAAAGCAGTAGCCCTGCGAGAACTTGAGTGTCTGAGCGTCTCTGTCTGCTGTAGCAAAGACAGACAGAGAAGGCGAAGGTGCTGGTGAAGCCTGGCAGGCAACGCAGGTAGACCTGCTCATGCAGACCGCCCTGAAGAAACGTTTAGAGAAGTCGAGAGAGTGCAGCTCATAGTCATGTTGTGCTGCTACATGTAGCAGCGCCCGAAGAGTAGTCATCTTCGGGGTCGGGGCGAAGGTCTGGAAGAAGTCAACACCCTCGAGCTAACTGAAGCCTCTAGCTACGTAGCGTGCCTCGAACACCGGCGGCTCTTCAGGAGGGCGCTTCACCATTAAGAGCCAACGGACATCGACTATGTTCACCCCAGGTGGGGGAACTGCGTCAACATAGGTGACAGTGGATCTCCAAGATGCCATCTCCGTGTCTATGGCAGCTATCCACTTAGAGGCCTAGAGTCCCGAGGTTGCCTCAGCGTAGGTGCGAGGGGTCGGGATGTCAAATAAGTTTGGGTCACCCTCAGGGAACAGCAGCATGGAGCAGAGATGAGGCGCAACCTCGGACTGGGAAAGCAAGCTTTTACTGCCGGTCCTCCAGGACGTCACTTCCAAGGGCAGGAGCACCCCCGTCGGACGAAGGACGGGCAGGGTCGGAGATCAGAGTGGTGGCGTCGTCAAGGCGGCGAGTAGAGGTGAAGTCAGCGACGGCAGCGACAAGTGCATCAAGACTCGAGACAGGAACAAACGGGTCGGTCACGAGGGAGGCAAGGACCCGAGGAACAAAAGGGCTAGCAGTATGAAGGTAGTCAAATAGACGAGTCGGAGAGGAGTCCGGCGGAGGAAAGACAGGGCCATGGGCAGGCAAGGGAGGCGGCGGTGGAGGAGGCGCAGGTGGGTAGTCAGGGGAGGGAAAGCCGAGGAGGCAAAGGGCGGACACCGGCGGCGACTGCGGCTGCTGCTGCTGCTGCTCCATGCCGACACCAGAACCTTGAGCTGCACCACTGCTTCCTCCAGGACACACCATGCCAACACCCCCTGAGCGAGAACCCTCTCCAGCACTGGTGCCACCCACAAGACCGTCGGGACAAGCCAAGACTGTAACCCCAGGACTAGCACCCCCTGAACCAACACCCCCACAACGAGAAACATCTCCAGCATCGGTGCCACCCCCAAGACCACCGGGACAAGCCACGACAGTAACCCCAGGACTGGCACCCTTCCGAACGCCCCCACCCGTAGAGCTCGCAGACCCCGGCGGCTGCTGCTGCGGCTGCGACGGCAGCGACGACTACTGCTGCAGGGGCGGCGACGGCGGTGGAGGTGGGGAAACCAAGGCTGAGATAGGCAGCGAAACTGAATCCGCAGGACCCTCGGAGTTAGCCAACTCCTCAACCGAGACAAGTGAATAGAGGGGAGTGACGTGCGACACACCAGACGGGGCAGGACGGGGAGGGAGAGGAGCAGGGGCTACTGGGGGAGTGGGAACCAGAAATAGGGGCGGGGAAACTAGGAGACCTCGGTGGGGAAAGAGGTGGTAGAAGAGACACACTCGTCAAAAGTGACGTCACGCGAGTAAGAAGCGGTGAGAAGGCAGGTGGTAGAAGTGCCAATTAGACACGTCAAGGGGGAAACCAAGGAAGACACAGGGGACAGTGCGAGCAGTGAGCTTTTCCGTGCCAGAGGCACGAACGTGAGCGCCCAAGATGTGGAACGCAGACGCCTCACTAGGGAACCCAGTCCAAAGAAGGGTTGGCGAAACCTGCGGCCATTGGGAGTGTGGTTACAGATTAAGCTGGTGAGCCGCGTAGCGAACAGCGAACAAGGATTATGGAGGTACGAGCCACCTCCATGACCAAACCGATGCATCGCGCAGCGACCCCATTCTGCTGCGGGGAGTACGGTAGGGTGCACGACTAGGTGATGCCCTCCGAACGACAGAAACGGCCAAGCTGATCGAAGGAAAACTCTCCGCCAGGGTCGGAAAGGAGACAAAGCACTAGGAGGCCGTGGTGGACGCGCACGGCTACGAACCACGGAATAAGAACGCCAAGCACGTCGTCCTTTCGCTCCTGGGGAAGCACCGTGGTATAGCGGGTGTTGTCGTCGGCAAGCACTAGAAAGTAGCGCTCTCGATGTGGGCCGGGGACGGGGGCTGGGCCCTAAACGTCCAAGTGCAGGGTCTGGAGTGGAGCTGTGGTAGGGGGAAACGAGGAGGAGTGAGGAGAACGGCACACCCGGCCTTCGACGCAAGATGTACATGGTGGCGCTGGCAAGGGGGGAAAGGCAGGGAGCGATGCAAAGAGACCAAAGACAAGACCGTTATGAGACATGTGACGCAGACGCGGGAGTGCGGGGTGACCTAGGCGGTGGTGCCATATCAGCGACGGGTGAGTGAGCGACTGACACGAGCAAGTCGCGGCAACCTAGGTCGCCGCAGGCACCTGGGGGGACGCCCTCATCGGGGGGGACGCAATGTCAAGCGTAAACAGGCCGGACAAAGGGTCCCGGGGGAACGTGGTAAGAGGGGCACCTCTGGCGGCCTTGGTACAAACCGTGTACCGCTTGTGTCCGGGGAACGTAGTGGTGACGCCGAGGTTCTGAAGACAGCTGACACCAACTAGGTTCTCAGAGAACAAGGGGATGTGCAAGCCTGTAAGAGAGCTCGAGGGGATCGCCGGAAAGGGGAGGGTAGTGGAGCTACGTGCTAATACGGGAATTGAAGAGGGAGCAGCAAACGGCGTGAGCGCAGTGTGGTCACGAAAGAAACAGGCGGACGCTCCAGAGTCGAGCGTAAAGGAGAGCGACGTAGTAGGGTCAGCCGGAGGACGGGCGAGCGTAGAGCCTAGGCTAATCAAGGTAGAGGGTACTACGCCCGACGCAGCTGGGGAGCTTAGACTACACAGAGGGGACACACCTATGCCAGAAAACACCGGGTAATACGGTCCAATCACACTAGAGTCATCAGCATACATGGCAGACATTGCAGTGCTTATCTGATCCATGTCAAGCTCAAATAGAGGCACACGGCGCCGAGCCAGGGCGTACCATTCAAGAGGGTCCGACGTGGGACCAAAGCGGTGGCGGAAAAGGTCGTCCAGGTGGCGGTAGCAGTGGTTGGCGGTGTGGCCAGACTGGGAGCAGACTG